ACCTACATCTTTGTCGACAGACAACAGACTGTCTACGTGTCAGACTACAACAATCATCGTGTGATGAAATGGGATAAAGGTGCAAAAGAAGGAATTGTCGTCGCTGGTGGTCAAGGCGAAGGAAATGCTCTGACACAATTGTCTTATCCTACCGGATTGTTCCTCGATACATTGGATACCATATATGTAGCAGATTCGTCGAATGATCGAGTGATGCGTTGGCCTAAAGGAGCGAAACAGGGCACTGTCATTGTGGGTGGAAATGGTCGAGGAGAAGGAGCTAATCAAATCGCCTTTCCCATGGGTTTGTCCTTCGATCGACATGGCAATCTCTATGTCGTCGATCGAGATAATGATCGAGTGCAACGATTTGCTATCGAATAGACTCGTTACGATGGATTTTTTTTTCTTTCCTTTCTGAGTGTGGGTGTTAGTAATCTGTTGATGCTCAGTCACACCCACACCCACACCCACATGTTTGTTTTAGAACTTATCGGCTTCGTTAATAACTATCTCAAACAACGATCATAACATAGAAAAGATTCGATCGTTTAAATAATAGAATGAGAGTGCACCAATATAAAAACCTTTTAGAAGAAAACGATACGTAAATATGCTTGAAAGAGTCATACTTAAACAATTATTAGATTTTATTTTTCCTTCATATTCAAATCGACAATTCTTCACTTTAGGGTTACTCATCATGATTATCTATACAAATCTTAATAGATTTTCTATATATATATAAAGGCATATTAAAATGAAAGAACTAATGAGCATAGTAGTTACCAATTTCAACATATAAATAGGTAGGACTCGAATGATATATCTCGTTATAAGGAGAATATTGTTCACATATATGTTGTGGTCAAAATTCAAATTCAGTCAAATTTTAAATTTGCCTAGACAAAATTCAAATTTGAATTCTGTCTAGGCAAAATTAAAATTTGAATTTTGACTAACATTATATTGGTCAAAATTCAAATTTGAATTTTGCCTAGACAAAATTAAAATGCTGTTATAGTCAATATAGGAAAATAAAATGTTTGTACCTCGACGGTGTGGGTGTGGGTGTAGGTGTGGATGGATGTGGGTGTGAGTGTGAGTGGAGTGTGGGGTGTGGGTGGGGGGTGTGGGTGTGAGTGTGGGTGTGGGTGTGGGTGTGGGTGTGGGTGTGGTTCAGCTGAAGACTTACATGGACACCCACACCCACATCTACATCCACACCCACACCCACACCCACACCTACATCCACACCCACACACCCACACCCACCCACACCCCATACTATGGGTTATTTAATTTCAATCTCAATTTAAACAGAAAAAAGAGCACTTGATTTCAAATTGAATTAAGGGAACTAAGGGGACTAAGGGGACTAAGGG